CAGGGCATCTCATTCAAGAGAGTTTGTGGGGAGGAGAAATCGGTTGACTGTCAGTCTGCCGATATGCTCCTCTGGAAAGAAAAGTTGCCATTACTCCTACAGACGTACTCCCCAGACGATATCTACAATGCAGATGAGACCGGCATCTTCTTCAGAATGCTTCCAGACAAGACCCTAGAATTCAAAGACGTCGACTGCCATGGTGGAAAGAAGAACAAAGAACGGCTGACGGCAATGGTCTGCGCCAACATGAGCGATACAGACAAGCTTCCCCTACTTATCATCGGGAAATCGGCAAACCCAAGATGCTTTAAGCATGTCAAGTCCTTGCCTACAGAATACCATGCCAACAAAAAAGCGTGGATGACATCCGACATCTTCAAAGAATGGGTGAAGAAGCTGGAGAAGAAGATGAGAAAAAAGAAAAAGAAGATTGCCCTAATTGTTGACAACTGCCCCGCCCACCCAAAGATTCCTGGCCTCCAAGCAGTCGACCTGGTGTTCCTGCCCCCCAACACTACCTCAAAGACTCAACCCATGGACCAAGGCATAATCCAGAGTCTCAAAGTCCAGTACCAGAAACGAGTTCTCCTGCGGTACATCAGCGCTATTGACAAAGGACAGACACCAACTATCAGCGTCCTAGACGCCCTTCATCTCCTCAGCCAGGCATGGGACAACGTTACGCTGTCCACAATTGCCAATTGTTTCCGACATGCTGGATTTGCTGCCCAGAATGACAACGCAACCCCAGATGAAGACGAAGACTTCGACGTAGAAGACAGCATTCCCCTTGCGATTCTAAGAACACACGGCCTAAACCCAGAAATGCTCCAGACATTTACAACTATCGACGACGAGCCCATGGTGGAATCAGAGACATTTGACGATCCAAGTGAGCCTGTAATCCAACCCCCTAACTCAGAGGACTCTGAGGCAGCCGGTGAACTTGTGATGCAGTACCTAATGTGCCGTGAAAACAGTCAAGACTTTGTGCGCCAGATGAGTGTGATTCTTGACATAATACGCAGAGACAATGTTCTTAAGAAGTCAACCCAGCAATCAAGAATTACAACTTTCTTCCAGAAGAAGTAAAGTGACGACATGTGCTTTATAAACTTTGTCAAAATATGTGCTGTGACGTGACTCGTTAAAACATTAGACATTATTTATTACACATGTACAAGTTTTATATGTATTGTTTAAAATGATATGAGAAAAATAAATATCGAAACTTAAAAAGTTTTTTTTCTTAGAAATTAGAGATTAGAAAACATGTACGATCTTTGTGGTGAAATTAAAGCAAATTACCAGGTAAATACGAATTAAAACGTGCCATGACAGCATATTATCAACAGATACTTCCGGTATACATGTATGTAACTGTTTATCATGAAATGAGAACAAATAAGCAACGAAACTTTAAAAGTCATTTTATTTATTCAAAATACGATCTTTGTGGTGAAAATCAAATGAATTACCTGTTAAATACCAATTGAAAACGTGCAATAGTAAATCCAGCATATTCTCAACATATACTTCCGGTAACTATAATAGTAGAACGATGGTGATCGGAACTGAAAATTCCGGAATTAAGTCACTTTCTATCTCTCGAACCCTTCGATCTCTCGAAGTTTTATGCTGGTCCCTTGAACTTCGAGAGATCGAGAGTCACCTGTATATCGCATTTCCTGTATATATAGAGGTTTGCTTTTATACATCGCTTTTCCTTTATATATACAGGTTGGCACTAATGGGCTTCCGTACTTTTGAGTATCCCTATAGAATAAAAATTGGCCATATAATGATGAGATCTATTTAAAGCCAATTCTTACTGGTGGAAAATAATTAATCAGTTTAATTTTCTGTATAAAAAATAAATATGGGAAACAGCATAAATCACAGAAAATAAAGAAATTGAATTATTAATACACCCGATAATTGTGATTAAATGTTCGTGTTCAGTTTAATTTTATACACGTACATATGCAAGCCTTCTTCCTTCAATAAATATTAATTCAATTTGTTTCTATGTGCGTAATGTTCATAAATGACCTTTGCATACATGTAAGGAGTTCTGGCATACTACCCAGAATCAATTTCTATTGCCTTTTATAGTTCCATTGTTTATTGCAAATCTCATTTCTGAGTTAGCTCCGCCCATAAAATTAATAAACCCCGCCCACTGGGACTGCTGGGACTGCTCTCTGGGACCGCTGGGACTGCTGGGACCACTCTGGGACTGCTCTAGGACTGCTTTGTGTCAGGTTGGGTCTGGTCGGTACTGTACCAGGCTTGCTTCGGATGCTGAATCTGACCTACATTTTACGCATGAGTGAACAGGTTTATGTTTTCGGTGCACTTCTCACTTTCCAAGTAACTATGAGCACTATAGTGACCAAACTTGCATGGATGATACATCTAAGGATGCATGCTACCAGACTTGCTTTGGATGCTGAATCTGACCTACATTTTTGGTTGAGTGAACAGGTTAAAATTTTTGGGACACGTTTCATTTCCAAGGTACTATGAGCCCTACAATGACCAAACTTGCATGGATGGTATATCTAAGGATGCATACTACTAGACTTGCCTTGGATGCTGAATCTGACCTACATTTTACGCATGAGTGAACAGGTTTATGTTTTCAGTGCACTTCTCACTTTCCAAGTAACTATGAGCACTATAGTGACCAAACTTGCATGGATGATACATCTAAGGATGCATGCTACCAGACTTGCTTTGGATGCTGAATCTGACTTACATTTTACGTTCGAGCGAACAGGTTAAAGTTTTTGGTGCAGGTTTCATTTCCAAGTTGCTATGAGCCATATAATGACCAAACTTGCATGGTTGGTACATCTAAGGATGCATACTACTAGACTTGCTTCGGATGCTGAATCTGACGTACATTTTCCGGTTGAGTGAACAGGTTAAAGTTTTTGGTGCAGGTTTCATTTCCAAGTTACTATGAGCCATATAATGACCAAACTTGCATGGATGGTACATCTAAGGGTGCATTCTACTAGGCTTGCTTCAGATGCTGAATTTGACCTACATTTTCTGGATTAGTGAACAGGTTAAAGTTTTTATACCCCCCGCAAACGAAGTTTAGGGGGGGTATATTGGAATTACCATGTCCATCTGTCCATCCGTCCATCTGTCCGTCTGTCTGTAGACGAGATTTTGTCCGGACCATTACTCAGAAACTATTGGAAGAATTTGTCTGAAAATTTGTACACATATTATTCACCATATGAAGGTGTGCACCTGATATTTTCATCTTGATTGGATGATTATTTTGAATTTTACAGGTGTTTTTTTCATTTTTATTTTGTGGTTTTGTGCAGACCATTTCTCAGAAACCTATTGCAAGGATTTATCTGAAAATTTGTACAGTTATTATTCACCATATGAAGGTGTGCACCTGGAATTTTCAACTTTATTTGTTCATTTTTCTGTATTTTACAGGTTTTATTTTTTATTTTAATTGACTTGTTCATTTTGGGCTCATGTATAAGGTTTGAGACATAGAATCTAGAATATCTGTACAAAAATGTGAACTACAGCTTAAAACTACTCATTAAAACAAAAACAAAAAAAGACACATCATCAAGTGTTAAAAACAGTTTTTACATTACACAGAAGATAATGTAAATTCATTTGTCTCTTGGGAATAATGACCGGACATGCATCCAGTTCAAGATAAATTAATGAGTTTGGTGTGGGAAGTTGTTAAGGTTATCTATAATCTCCTGGGAATTTGGCACAAGAATTAAAGATCTCTCTTCTCTATTTCTCTTAATTGTAATTTATTGTCTGTCAAAGCAATTCATTACAGGATGACCAGTTCTTTATTTTCAAAATGAATTTGATATAAAGTTATCAAGATTAATTTGATTTTGTATAATATGATTTTTTTTTTTCAACAATCAGTTTGCAGAGTGTCATGACACATAATTTCAATATATTTTTTTAATGCAGAAATAAAAAAAAATGTTATAATGGAATTACATTGTATTAGTATTAATGTTTCATTTGGCTGCACCTTTGTTTCATTCATTAAGAAAGATAATGAGCAATTATATTTCACTGCAAATTTTTGTAAATAAGTTGTGAACACCTGTGAATTGGCACATTCTCTGAAAAACCCAGCGGGGGGTATTTGTCCCAATTGGACAGTTCTAGTTTATACAGGTTTCATTTCCAAGTAACTTTGAGCTCTGTGTTGAGCAAACTTTCATGGATTATAAATCTTAGGATGCACACTAATAGACTTGCTTAGATGGTGAATTCGACATACATTTTCCAGATAATGGACCTTGTAAAAGTTATGGGTGCAGGTCTATTAGTAACCCAGAAACTATAAGGTTTATATAAACCAAACTTGTACAAATGATGCATCAAGGGATGAAAACTCTCAAACTTGCTTCAGATGTTGGATTTTAATTACGTTTTTAGATGAAGAACTAGTTTGAAGGTTTTATATAGGTCTAATTCCAAAATATCAGATCAAAATTGCATTTATAAATGTTGCATTTTTGGATGTACACTTTTTGTTGGTTAATTGTGTGACTTTGCCTTACTTAAAGACAACATTCATTGAGGTAAGCTCTGTAATCTCTGATTACCTATGTTTCTTGTCTATATTGACAAAATAAAATATACTCTTATGTACATAAAATTCCCTGATCAAAATAATAAACAGAATGTAATTTTTAACATCTTTTTAACCCTCTTGTGTATATGAAAAGAATGTGTCAAAAATGCATATCTTGATATGATTAACCAGTTAATCGGTGGGACCGTTTTGCGGTTAACTGATTAGCAATTCTGCAATCGATTGCCATCCCTAATGAAAATGTGTAATCCTCTAGTAAGGAGATTACATAAGTGGACTCCATACTGTGCTTTTAGATAAAAGAACAGGAGTAAAAAAGGAATTTATTGAATTTAATTGTTCCAATTTCAGTAAAGGAACATATTTGGTTTAATTACAGTACTGTAGACAACAGAACAGGAGGCTGATGGAAGATCTCTTCTACCAGGAAGATAACTTTCAGGAGGAAGGGACTTGCAAGGTCATCAATAGCTTTAGGCAAGATGTAAGTTTTCTACTTCAAGCTGACCATGACTCATATAGATAGGTATATGCCATATAAGTTTTCCAAATAATCTTCAATATCAGGACTGGGGTATACCCTTCACATTCAATTAACACCTTATTGCTTTCTTGTCATGAATACCAGAATGGAATGAATGACACATGTTCATGTTAGTTTTCTTCTTTACATTATCTTGGTTAAAGTTTTATTAGCTCTTCTTAGCCAAAGGCTCAAAGAGCTAATGCCATGGCCATTTGTGTTCTGCACATATACTTTTTAGAATATGGACCATACCTGAAGAACCCATTAGCCAATCATTGTCAAATTTGTCACAGGGTATCCTTGACCCAAGGTCTCCCATTTAAACTAAAAGTAGGGTTGTGACCCTTAAGCAAGGGAAGATGATTAGGTAAATACTGTATAAGCAAAAAATTTAGCGAGGATTTAATTTTGGCATTATTAGCGAGCGTGTTGAGATACAGTACAGGCAACGCAGATCCCGTATTTTCCGCGCCTTGTCGCGGTATAATCACAACGCGGTATTTGGCCAGCTGAGACAGGTAAACCGTGTTCCCTCTGCGGGAATTTCATCAACTACCTGTCCCCGCTGTGGTTAAATCATCGATCAATTACTGACAATTAGTATTGTAAACAAACGGGAGTTATCTCCCCGAATTGTAATTTGCGAATTTTCCCTGTAACAAAAAAAAATAATGACACTGTATGTTTATTAAAAGAAGTATTTTCATTTATTTTGCTATGATCAATAGAAAATAAGCTAAGAAAAAATATATTTATTTTTGTTTCTAAAATTATATATCGATATTTGAATTAGAATTAAAAATTTTATTCAATTGGTTAATTTTTTTCGTCATTGAGAGTCTAACAAGAAACAAAATTAAATACTAGAAAAATTAGGGTTTTTTTTTAATTTACCGGGTACTCATAATATATGCAAACTTTAATACTGCTGAACTCAGACAGTGTGAGTTTCGATAAACGATTTTCATGCAGCATTCATTTGAAAAAAAATGTACAATTAATCTTTGAAAAAAATGTACATCCTCATATTGTTTGTATTCTTGTTCCAAATTTAGAACACTTAATTTAATTAATTTCGCTTTATTGTATAAATGTGCAGGCATTTTTCTTAAAGTGTCAAATAACGGGAAACATTCGATGGCGAGAGTAGTATGCACGTGAACTTAAATATTCTTTATGCAAGATATCAAGAAAAAATTCTTTTCTTCTTTTTAGCTCACCTCAACGAAGTTGGGGGGAGCTTATGTGATACCCTCGGCGTCGGCGTCCCGGGTTAAGGTTAAGTTTTTTGGAGCAGTTTTCTTTTTAAGTACTTCTATGTCCTATATTGATTAGACATGCATGGAAGATGTTTCTAGTGTGTTTCATTGTACCAGTCAAAGTTTCAGGTGCTGCAATTTCAGCAAAGGAATGACCAGGTTAATGTTTTTGGAGCAGGTTAACATTTTTGGTGCAGTTTTTAGCTCACCTCAACGAAGTTGGGGGGAGCTTATGTGATAGCGTCGGCGTCGGCGTCGGCGTCCCGGGTTAAGGTTAAGTTTTTTGGAGCAGTTTTCTTTTTAAGTACTTCTATGTCTTATATTGATTAGACATGCATGGAAGATGCTTCTAGTGTGTTTCATTGTACTAGTCAAAGTTTCAGATGCTGCAATTTCAGCAAAGGAATGACCAGGTTAATGTTTTTGGTCCAGGTTAACATTTTTGGTGCAGTTTTTGGTGTAGGTCTCATTTCCGAGTAACTATAAGCCCTATGTTGACCAAACTTACATGGATGATACATCTTAGGATGCATACTACCAGCCTTGCTTCGGATGCTGAATCTGACCTACATTTTCCGGTTGAGTGAACAGGTTAAAGTTTTTGGTGAAGGTTTCATATCGAAGATACTTTGAGCCCTATAATGACCAAACTTGCATGGATGGTACATCTTAGGATGTATTCTACTAGACTTGCTTCGGATGCTGAATCTGACCTACATTTTCCGGTTGAGTGAACAGGTTAAAGTTTTTGGTGCAGGTTTCATTTCCAAGTTACTATGAGACATATAATGACCAAACTTACAATGATGATACATCTTAGGATGCATACTACCAGCCTTGCTTCGGATGCTGAATCTGACCTACATTTTCCGGTTGAGTGAACAGGTTAAAGTTTTTGGTGAAGGTTTCATATCGAAGATACTTTGAGCCCTATAATGACCAAACTTGCATGGATGGTACATCTTAGGATGTATTCTACTAGACTTGCTTCGGATGCTGAATCTGACCTACATTTTCCGGTTGAGTGAACAGGTTAAAGTGTATGGTGCAGGTTTCATTTCCAAGTTACTATGAGACATATAATGACCAAACTTACATTGATGATACATCTTAGGATGCATACTACCAGCCTTGCTTCGGATGCTGAATCTGACCTACATGTTCCGGTTGAGTGAACAGGTTAAAGTTTTTGGTGAAGGTTTCATATCGAAGATACTTTGAGCCCTATAATGACCAAACTTGCATGGATGGTACATCTTAGGATGTATTCTACTAGACTTGCTTCGGATGCTGAATCTGACCTACATTTTCTGGACGAGTAAACATGTTAAAGTTTATGGTGCAGGATTCATTTCCAAGTAACTTTGAGCCCTATAATGACCAAACTTGCATGGATGGTACATCTAAGGGTGCATTCTACTAGGCTGGCTTCGGATGCTGAATCTGACCTTCATTTTCTGGATTAGTGGAAAGGTTAATTTTTTTATACAGGTTTCATTTGCAAGTAACTTTAAGCCCTATGTTGACCAAACTTGCATGGATGATACATCTTAGGATGCACACTAATGGACTTGCTTCAGATGCTGAATTCGACATACATTTTCCAGATAATAGACCTCGTAAAAGTTATGGGTGCAAGTCTATCACCAAGAAACTATAAGGCTTATATAAACCAGTTGCACAAATGATGCATCAAGGGATGAAAACTCTCAATCTTGCTTCAGATGCTGGATTTTAATTACATTTTCATGATGAAGAACTAGTTTTAAGTTTTTATATAGGTCTATTCCAAAGTATCAAAATTGCATAAATTTTGCATTTTTGGATGTACACTTTTTGTTGGTTAATTGTGTGACTTAATTTGCCTTACTTAAAGACAACACACGTTGAGGTGAGCTCTGTAATCTCTGATTACCTATGTTTGGTGTAGGTCTCATTTCCGAGTAACTATAAGCCCTATGTTGACCAAACTTGCATGGATGGTACATCTTAGGATGCATACTACCAGACTTGCTTCGGATGCTGAATCTGTCCTACATTTTCTGGTTGAGTGAACAGGTTAAAGTTTTTGGAGCAGGTTTCATTTCGAAGATACTACGAGCCCTATAATGACCAAACTTGCATGGATGGTACATCTTAGGGTGCATTCTACTAGACTTGCATCGGATGCTGAATCTGACCTACATTTTCCGGTTGAGTGAACAGGTTAAAGTTTATGGTGCAGGTTTCATTTCCAAGTTACTATGAGACATATAATGACCAAACTTGCATGGATGGTACATCTAAGGATGCATACTACCAGTCTTGCTTCAGATGCTGAATCTGACCTACATTTTGCGGTTGAGTGAACAGGTTAAAGTTTTTGGTGCAGGTTTCATTTCCAAGTTACTATGAGACATATAATGACCAAACTTGTATGGATGGTACATCTTAGGATGCATACTACCAGTCTTGCTTCAGATGCTGAATCTGACCTACATTTTCCGGTTGAGTGAACAGGTTAAAGTTTTTGGTGCAGGTTTCATTTCCAAGGTACTATGAACCCTATAATGACTAAACATGCATGGATGGTACATCTTAGGATGCATATTACAAGACTTGCTTCGGATGCTGAATCTGACCTACATTTTCCGTTTGAGTGAACAGGTTAAAGTTTATGGTGCAGGTTTCATTTCCAAGGTACTATGAACCCTATAATGACAAAACTTGCATGGATGGTACATCTTAGGATGCATACTACCAGACTTGCTTCGGATGCTGAATCTGACCTACATTTTCTGGACGAGTAAACAGGTTAAAGTTTATGGTGCAGGATTCATTTCCAAGTAACTTTGAGCTCTATAATGACCAAACTTGCATGGATGGTACATGTAAGGGTGCATTCTACTAGCTGAATCTGACCTACATTTTCAGGATTAGTGAAAAGGTTAGTTTTTTATACAGATTTCATTTCCAAGTAACTTTGAGCTCTATGTTGAACAAACTTGCATGGATGATACATCTTAGGGTGCACACTAATGGACTTGCTTCAGATGCTGAATTTGACATACATTGTCCAGATAATAGACCTCGTAAAAGTTATGGGTGCAGGTCTATCACGAAGAAACTATAAGGCTTATATAAACCAAAGTTGCACAAATGATGCATCAAGGGATGAAAACTCTCAATCTTGCTTCAGATGCTGGATTTTAATTACATTTTCATGATGAAGAACAAGTTTGAAGTTTTATAGATCTATTCCAAAGTATCAAAATCAAAATTGCATAAATTTTGCATTTTTGGATGTACACTTTTTGTTGGTTAATTGTGTGACTTAATTTGCCTTACTTAAAGACAACATTCGTTGAGGTGAGCTCTGTAATCTCTGATTACCTATGTTTTTCTCATTGTTTATTCTTTTCCCAAATTTAGAACACTTTTTAAAAATTTATTTCGCTTTATTATATACTTGTGCAGGTATTTTTCTCAAAGTATCAAATTACCGGAAAGCATGAATTTTATTTCGATGGCGATAGTTCACTTTGCAGTTACGTGTGAACTTTATATGATATCAAAAAAAAATATCGCTTCTTCACCTTCATATTTACTTGTGTTTCTTTTGTAAACAATATGTCTTTCTTTTTAATTTTAATATTTCTCCATTTTCATGTGCAATAAAATAAGATAGGATGTGCAGGTACGGTGATAAACTTCACAGAA